GATTATCCTCGATGTTATTAGTTCGATAGTAAGCGTGGGACCATTCCACCCATCAAGTTCTGTTTGTTGAGGATAGTAGCTGATAACGATGTGGTTTCCATTTGAGTAAGAAGCGCAGTATACGTATACTCGACAGAGAATGGGCTATGCGATCGATCGGGCATTGGTCATCCGAAGTGTTCGGTAGTCTAGTCTTCTGACCTCTATCAGTTTGCTCCGTACTCGAGGCACAACCACCTGTATACACGCCTGTGCTTGCTTGTGAGCTTTCCGCCCACTCAGTTGCACGACATCACTGTCAACAGAGACGGGATGTCTATAAGTGTTCCTTCTCTTGTTATTATAATATTAAAAACTGAGCAATTACAAGCTCTCTGGGATAGTATCAACAAGGCCGACCGAAGAATGTGAGCTGAGACTGGCCGATCTGCAGGTCTGAGGTCACAAAGGTAAGCGTAGGATCATCCCACTCATCAGGTTGAGATCATTTGTTGAGCGTTATCGAGAATATTAACTTCCCATGAAGCTCTAGGGTCAAAATTCGGCACTGTCTTTGATAATTTATGAGAGTTAGGCTACTCGAACGATGGAGCAATTGTTCGTTTGGAGGATTAAATACCTAATCTTCCTCATCGTGTGAGGTTTAGCGAGCAAGCATGGACCATTCCATCTCATTATTAGGTTATTCAGGATAGTGGAGAATGGTGTAGCTTTCCATAAGGTGTGAAGTGCATTGTCTTTCACGAAGCTCTGCGTTTTGTTAGATCGACGCATACGTTGAAGTAGGTCCTCGATGGTCTAATGGTCGCGATCGAAGTACTCGGTACCCGTGCGAGAACCGACGACGTGCAGAATTGCTCGCTCCAAGCATGTTCTCATGAACTCTTGTTAGGGCTAGTCATGAGTCGAGAAGAATCAGACAACAGATATAGCTGAGGTTGCCTTGCAACGAGACAAATCGGCGATACTTCCTTGGCTATGAGGTTCAAGAGTAAGCGTATCGTCCTTCTTCCATCGAGTTCACTGCCATGCCTCCAGTTTGCCACATACCCAAGCTTCTCTTAACTCATTGTATTGTCCGCCCTGAAGATTGGCAGCGATCTGCAGTAGTTTTGAGATGCGAATGCGTGGCAGAGTTACTAGGTTCTTCAGTATATTAGAATCCAGTGCCATCCCCAAGAAAAGTACGAAGTACATACCAAACATGATCGATAGAGTATTTGATTCATGGACTGATTGGCCATTTCAATACCGAGAAGCGTTCTTTAAAGGATACCTTTCAGTTTCTGGGATTGGGTGTTTCGAAGATAAGCCCAGAGCTATGCCTTTGCGTCCACGGTCGCTTCGTGTACTGTGAGTTGTATTTGTGAGATCTGAGGGTGTTCGTCTTTCGTAAGGTTAACGCGATGTGATGGAGCAATCATTTATCTTTGAGTAAATATTCAAGGCACTGTCGGGGACAATCTATCAGTTAATCCGATTCTAAATGCAACCGAACATCAGTTGATAGATGGAACTCCCGGTTGATCCTTCGGAGTATGTTGTTTCTTCTTTGATAGAAGAAAAAGAGTAAGTCTTGTAATTTCTTTCACCCAGTGTTCTGTTCTTCGTTCAAAGTCCAAGGAGAAGGCCATACTGACTAGGATAGCTGTAGTGAGATAAAGAAAAACGATGGGTTGAGATATTCTGTGAGCGCTTTCTCCTGCTCTGGTAAGACACGCTGCGAAGGAGATTGTGTAGTATCCAGTGTAAAGTGCTCGAGAAACTGGCGATTTCAAGTTGTTGTGGGATTGGAAGGGTCTAGTAGATCAACCGAAAGCAGTCCATCATACCCCCGTTGCCTGTATCACCGAACATTTACCTCACCATCGCCTGCAGGTGCGTATCTTTGATGCGGTTTCGATGATACTTCTGTGAGACGATAAGAAATGTTATCCCACTTTGTATAGTATCGTCTGTTTCCTTTGAGATATTGATAGTAAGGTCCATCGGTGACAAGTTTGCTAGCACCAGAGACGCAATTTAGCAACAAAGGCCGATAGATAGACAACTGAGGTATAAAAGATAAAGTTTCAGTGTTGTAGTAGCTGTGGGTCACTTTGGTTGCCCAGGCGAGTCGATAAGAGCCCATTTAGTTCTTAGGATGTTAGGAAGGCGAGCCAATGTGCCAGTGAAGTGTTCGTTGGCATTGGAGCATCGGCGATTCGCTTGATCGGTATATGGAGTGTCACAGAGTGCAGCAAGCCCATTATACAGCCTTCCCTAGCTTATGGCGAATATCCATCTTGTAATGCATCTGAGATATTCCAGCCAACCTGTCCGCCAGTCGAGCGAGCTCAGAGACAAGCAACCATGGCCGTGCATAGTCTCTTTCAAACTTGTTCAACTAACTCCAGAGAAGGACGATGTTCTTAGAACTGTGGAACTCCTTTCTTACTTTCAGTCCTTGGCCGCTGACTTTGTCTGGAGCCATTTGAGTAATCTGAGCACCACCGGTTAGTGAAAGCTCTGTAGATAGGAGACTCTCAAAATAAATCCCAGTAGCGGGATTGATGAAATATAGAATGAGATCTGGAGGATGTCTCTTCAACATACCGTACAACGTCATGGATATTACCTTGTTAATCTCTCTCTGTACGTCAGACGGAGAAATAAAGCGTCGAGATTTATAGGCAGATATAGCGAGTCTCTCCTCAAATATGAGTTGTATGGACCGGATAGAGTAAGACCTGTTGCAGAAGACTCTCTATCATCTTCATCTTTGGTTGCTTTCGGAGGACATCATAAATAGTCCCCCGAGTTTCTTCTTTTACCTTTGACCGACCTTTCTGCTTGAGATTTTCGATAGCGGATGTCTCGGAGCATAAGGCTTTGCACCAGATAATCGGTGGATGTGACCATCATATAAGTTTGATAGACCAGGCAATCGGTCGATAATGAAAGATGTTATATAAGTATGATAGAAGATTGTTATATATAATCGTCTGATAATTAGATGATAGAGAGAAGAAGAAAAGGAGAGAGTTGGGTGGAAGGAGAACGGCGTTTATATAGCCCAGCAGAAAGCCAACAAGTGAACGCTCATATCTCAAGATTCCAAAGATTCAACGTAAAGCGTGAACGAAAGGAGTGAAAGGTAATCAATATTTGACTTTGTAGACCCTTTTGAGGCACTCGTTGAATATCAAGATGCTTTCGTGCACTGGGATGCGTGCACTGAGATGCATTCAACGGTTGGGCTTGATCAAGTCGCAGTTGCCCTAACTTTGGAAGTAGTGAACGGCGTGTAAGAACCAAAGCATGAGAATAACAGGTTCAAAGGATTCTACTTCGGGAAACGAGCGGGTCATACATGATCATGACCGTCATAGCGAGTTAGGGTTGCGAGCTTGGATAACTGGACGGTGCCGGGTGACTATTTGTGAACCTGGAACGCCTGATAGAAGCACAGAACGATAGGCTGATAATTACTCTTGAACATTGTGCTTTGCTTTGTGCTAGGTTATGTCTTGGCGTTAATGAGATTTCTACTCTTATGTTCGAGGATCAGGCGAATTCTTCAAATAGAAATCCTACAGAAAGACTCACAGATCTTGCGGGTGATCAAAAAGCTTCATATTCTCCGCCGTAACGGCTATTGTACTCAAAGAATTCGGCCTATTGCCATAACATACGCCAAGTGAACGGGACCGAGGCCTCATGGAGGTTGCATCACGCACATTGAGTGACCTAAAAGGCAGGTACCTAGGCAAGTCCATTCGGACACAGTCCTTGGGGCATTGACGATCATTGATGCTCGATGTTTGTAGCATCCTTTGACCTCCGGGCTATCACAGAGCATATGGAATATTACTTACACCGATGAAATCAAAGCGGGGAGGAACGTCCTTCAAAGTAGAAACGACGGAGCAATACTATAGATGAAGCCCCGGACATGATAGTACTCGTTGTGATCTAATAAGGTCGCTGAAGAGCGATGCTTAGGTAGCGGCACCATGAGAGATGCCACTAATGTGCAGACATCGAGCATCTACAGTATTATAATTGTCCAATACGTTATCAGTATCGACGGGGCATTATGAACAGACCGTTGTAGCTTCTTGTAGGTTCATGCTGAACTCTTAAGCGAGGTCAGTACTATCGGGAGAGCTGTATTGGGACTACTTACCGCAAGCGGATAGCTTCAAGCTTCTCGATTTAGTAATGACCTACACGGATTGATACCCAGTATTCCACGACAGCAACTCCGTAGTCCGGTAAATATTTCCAAGATAAGGACAAGCATAAGCGAATGACAAGAGCGATGAGGTGATTTGTGATAGTGGTGGTGGAAGTAGGGAGTTTTGAGTAACGCGAGAAATAATACACACGGCAAGTGGGGTTTGCTTGATACAGATCGATACTTACTTTACCTTACCTTAGTTATCTGCACCTTCCGCTGCAGTTCGTTGCAACCCACGGGAAAGGTCCAGGGTCTGACAACAAAGTAAAAAGTACACAGTAGCATTCTGGAGGTGATCTGTCCCCTCTTTCCCCGTCCATGAGACAACTGAGCCTCGGAGAAAGCTTTCTCATTTTACCCCCGAGTAACCCCAATGATACACCAATCATAATGTACAGAAGCAGTCTGGACCCGACCTGCTTATGAATCGCGGAAGGAAAAGCTACTACTGTGGTGCCCCCCCAAAGCTGGTTCGGGAAGGTGGAATACAGCAGCAAAACGTCATTCCGAAGAACCCCGCCAGGTGGGGGTTTTTTGGTGAGCTTCCGATGGAGGGAAAGACCGACATTGGAAGCCCATCGAATCCACTGGGGAGCAACGAGCGAGGCACTCTGACTGATTCGGAGTCCGCTGCTGCTGCTACTGCTGTTCTGTTGGGTCGCTCATTATTTACCCCTCGTTCTCTTCTTCTCTCTCCTCTTTCCCTCCCCATCATCCTCTCCAAAATCTTGAATTTACCCCTAGATCCAAGGTAATCCAATCTTCAAAAACCGTCAAAATGGTCAAGGCTGGTAGGTACCTGCACTTTTCTTCAGCCCTTTTGGTTTTCCTATCCTGCTATTGGCCTTAACCCCCTCCACGGATCCACGATCGACCGTGGCCGGGGGACCTTGAGTGAGCAGATTTGAGCACCTTGCGATCCCTCCTGCACCTATCACGATCTGGGGACCCTGTTTGCCAGCCCGGCAAGCTCAGGGGGATTTGGTGACATCTGCCAGCTCATTCGTCCCCGTCAGCTGGAGCTTTGTTTTATCTTTCGTATTATTAGTACCACGATCAAAGTCTGGTTGATGGCCAGTGATCGCTGGATCTCGTGGTTCTGGAAGGTTTCCATCGATGAAAATCATGGGCTGACATCCATCTCTTAGTCGCTGTTATCCGTGGAGACTCCAAGGTCTCCGGCACTGTCACTTTCGAGCAGGCCAACGAGAACACCCCCACCACCATCTCCTGGAACATCACTGGCCACGACGCCAACGCTGAGCGTGGCTTCCACGTCCACCAGTTCGGTGACAACACCAACGGCTGCACCTCCGCTGGCCCTCACTTCAACCCCTTCGGCAAGACCCACGGTGCTCCCGAGGACGACGAGCGTCACGTCGGTGACCTTGGTAACTTCAAGACCGATGCCGAGGGTAACGCCGTTGGCTCCAAGCAGGACAAGCTGGTGAAGCTCATCGGTGCCGAGAGCGTCCTGGGCGTACGTTTCCATCCCTGCCCTTCTTCCTGACTGTTTCTGTAAAGATGCTAATGCAATGCATACAGCGGACCCTGGTCGTCCACGCTGGTACTGATGACCTCGGCCGTGGTGGCAACGAGGAGTCCAAGAAGACCGGTAACGCTGGTCCTCGTCCCGCCTGCGGTAAGCATATCCCTACCAAGATACCCCTTCTCACTGAAATCAACCTTGTTTACTGATCTCTTCTGTCACAGGTGTCATCGGCATTGCCGCTTAAGTGCCTAACTCAGTCTCCAAAGCTGTTCGACTAGGATGTGAAGGGCTAGAACAGAATGAGTAGTCTGCCATTATCTCGTCGACAACAGGAATAAAATGAATGCACGAATGACTTGATGCCAACTGTTATGATAACCGGCATTTCTGCCAGACTGTATCGAAGCGCTGATTACCTCTGCTGTGGGTAGTACAGAATGTAACCATTTTATTGGAAGACTTAGCTTTCTACTTTGACATCCAAGTAGTACATGTCTAGATGCACAGTCTCATCATCATCTCCTTTGTGGTTGTACTCGTTGCGGCCTAGGGTGATTCTAGCGCTTACAGCTACATACATGGTGTCACGGGACACATGGACTAGAGGCGAGCCAACAGACATGCCCAAGTTTGATCAATTAGCATAGCGCTCGTCGCCAGAAACATTGAGTAGACATTTGTTCATGCTGCAGCTCAATTTTGGCAGTTGGTGAAGCATCTTTGGTGAAGTGGTTGGTGAAGTGGTGTTTCCTGCAGTGACGGAGCTCCAGGGAAGCTTGTAGTTCAGTAAATGTGGTCGTGGAAGAGTCACTGGTTATAGAAAGATTCACTCTTCGTGATCACTGGGACTTAGCAAGTTGATTTCATGATGATATGCAGACAACGGTGCGGATAGTTGCAGGAGCGAAGCTCCGTCGAGGCCGGAGTCGAACTCCCCCACAAAAGTCAGGTGCCCGCCCGAGCGCGATTGGCCGCTCGGACTGCTGTACCTGGCCTCAATGGAAGTAGTCCGACTGTCTTCTTCTCCCTTTCCCCTATCATTCATTCGGTCTTTTTTTTCTTGTCCCCTTCTCATAATTCATTACTTACATCCCTTTCTCCTTAATTGCTTCTGCCTCTTTAACCCCGTCTCGTCAATTTCTGGTCTTGCCTGTCGCTTGCCAGCATGCCTCTGGAAGCCCGCGTGAAATCTGTCCTGTCCGGCGACACGGTGGTGCTGTCGCATATCAACAACCCAGGCCAGGAACGTATCCTCAGTCTTGCATATGTCTCCGCGCCGAGACTACGCAGAGAGGGAGATGAGGTGAGTTGATTCTTTTCTGTGTTTTCAGATACAATGTCAATGCGCGGTGCAACCGTTTCTTTCTGCCTGGATAGGTGGCCTCTACATCGGGGACAATTGGCTGCATTCCATCCGAAATCTAACATTCTTGACTGAGTTGGAATCGACCTTGGCCCGTTATAACTAGCATCGCTTAATTGATCTATCAATAACTTGCTAACTGCCGCTGTTTTCTTTCTGCAGCCGTACGGCTTCCATTCCCGAGAGTTTCTCCGCGAGCTCCTAGTCGGAAAAGTCGTACAATTTCAAATCCTGTACACCATCCCTACCGGTGCTAAGCGCGACTACGGTACAATCAAACTCCCGACCTTCGACGTCTCCCTCCCCGACATCAGCGTCCAGGAAGGATGGACTCGCGTCCGCGAAGAGGCTGGCAAGCGCAGCGACGAGTCTGAAGAGACTGTGGCGTACCTGCAACGACTCCGTGCATTGGAGGAGCATGCCCAGACGGAGGGCAAGGGAACATGGGCAGGCACAGAGAGTGGTCGCACAGAGACCACTTATGAGCTGTCTGACCCTAAGGCGCTGGTTGACGAATGGAAGGACAAGCACTTGGAAGGTATCGTCGAGAGGGTTCTGAACGGCGACCGCCTGATCGTCCGTTTGCTCCTCTCTTCGGAGGAACACCTGCAGGTTGTCGCTGCCATGGCGGGTGTTCGTGCCCCAGCAGCCAAGCGAGTGACGGCTGAGGGCAAAGAACAGCCTGCAGAGCCGTATGGAGACGAAGCATTCCAGTTCGTCGAATCGAGGATTCTGCAGCGCAAGGTCCAGGTGAATCTTCTGGGCGTCACCCCTCAGGGTCAACTGATTGCTAGTGTTCTCCACCCGAACGGCAATGTTGCCAAGTTCCTGCTGGAAGCTGGTCTGGCTCGTTGCCACGATCATCACTCCGCCCTGCTTGGTACTGAGATGGCAGCTTTCCGCCGTGCGGAGAAAGTGGCCAAGGATGCCAGAGTGGGCATCTTCACTGGTCTAGTTGCTCCCAAGGGTCCTGCTGGCGGGGCCGAGGACTACGTTGTTGGCCGCGTGCTGAATGCAGACACGCTCTTCATTCGCAACAAGGCCGGTCAGGAGAAGAAGATCCAGCTCAGCAGTGTCAGGCAACCGAAGCCATCTGATCCCAAGCAGGCTCCTTTTGCCGCCGATGCTAAGGAGTTTGTGCGCAAGAGAATCATTGGAAAGCACGTCAAGGTCACTATTAACGGCAAGAAGCCCGCTACGGAGGGATACGAGGAGAGGGAGGTTGCCACCGTTGTTCAAGGAAACACCAACATCGCTCTGGCCCTCGTCCAGGCGGGTTACGCTTCCGTCATCCGTCACCGCCAGGATGACGAGGACCGGTCTCCTGAGTATGACAACCTCATGCTTGCTGAAGCAGAGGCCCAGGCCGAAGGCAAGGGCATGTGGGCTGCTAAGCCCCCCAAGCCCAAGCAGTACCAGGATTACTCGGAAAGCGTTCAGAAGGCCAAGATGGAGGTTTCCATTCTCCAGCGCCAGAAGCGTGTGCCGGCTATTGTCGACTTTGTCAAGTCGGGATCTCGGTTCACCGTTCTGGTTCCTCGTGAGAACGCCAAGTTGACTCTTGTCTTGTCGGGTATCCGCGCTCCCCGGTCTGCCCGTAACCCCGGTGAGGCATCCGAGCCTTGCGGCCAGGAGGCTCACGATCTTGCGAACAAGCGCTGCATGCAGCGTGATGTTGAGATCGACGTGGAGACCATTGACAAGGTCGGTGGATTCATTGGTACTCTGTATGTGAACAAGGAGAACTTCACTAAGGTCCTCCTTGAGGAGGGTCTTGCTACTGTTCACGCTTACTCTGCTGAGCAGTCTGGTCACGCTACGGAATACTTTGCTGCGGAGCAAAGGGCCAAGGAGGCCCGCAAGGGTCTCTGGCACGACTGGGACCCTAGCAAGGACATCGTTGAAGATGAGGAGGAGCCTGCCAACAGCAACAACAACACTGACACCGAGGTTTCCCAGCGTCGCAAGGACTACCGCGATGTGATGGTCACCTATGTTGACCCTACTACTGGCCGCGTTAAGGTTCAGCAGATTGGCACAGGCACCTCTGCCTTAACGGAGTTGATGAGTGCTTTCCGTTCGTTCCACCTCAACAAGGCCAACGACACTCCGCTCCCTGGACCTCCCAAGGCGGGCGACTTCGTTGCCGCCAAGTTCACCGAGGACAACGAGTGGTACCGCGCTAAGGTCCGTCGCAATGACCGTGAAAACCAGCAGGCTGAGGTTGTTTACATTGACTTCGGTAACTCGGAAGTCCTGCCCTGGTCCCGTCTCCGGCCCTTGAGCCAGCCGCAGTTCTCCGTCCAGAAGCTTCGCGCCCAGGCGGCTGATGCAGTGCTCTCCTTTGTCCAGTTCCCTGGTGCCGAAGATTACCTGCAAGACGCAGTCAGCTTCCTCGAAGACCAAGTCTACAACCGTGAGCTTGTTGCCAACGTCGACTACGTGTCTCCAGACGGAACCCTGCACGTCACCTTGCTGGATCCTACCGAGTCCAAGAACCTGGATCACAGTATCAATGCCGACATTGTTCGTGAGGGTTTGGCCATGGTGCCCAGGAAGCTGAAGGCCTGGGAGCGGGCTGCTACTGAGACAGTGTCCCACCTCCGCAGCGTAGAAGAGGAGGCGAAGCAGGAACGACGGGGTATGTGGGAGTATGGCGACCTGACCGAGGATTAAATATTACACTCATAGTGTTGTGTTTGGAGTGGTGGAAGAAGATGTCTGTACAATTATCCACATGGCGCTTTATGTCGATTCCCATGAGCGACGGAATTAGTGGCTTTGGGCATTCTTACATTGGCAGCTTTCAAGAGCTGTGCTACATTAGTCTAGGATTTCTCAAATATGTTCTCTGAATAAGGATACCAAAAGTTGGGTCTTTGGCAACCTTCCTGTTTTTTGTGCTCTGCATAACTCCATGCATAGATGACATAAGCGGATGTTATCTCCGCGACTGTCCGATACGGCGAATTGCCTTTCCCGACTTCGCAGCGTCAGCCCAATTTTCTTGTCCTTTATGCCATATCCCCGCCGTTCCCCTCGTGTTTGCGACTTTCGCTCATTGTTGGACTATTTGTGATTAGAATCCGACGTAGCCGGCGCCTGCTCGACTTGAAACAAGGCCTCGTGACGGGCTTGAAACAGATAAGACTATAACCGACTTCCGCCGACGCCGAGCTCAGCTCGTCCAAGGACCCGCTTCATCTTCAATACCTCCTCTGCAATCGCCCAATTCCAAAGCATACCCAATCTCCTTAATCCAGCACAATGCCTTTCTGGGGAACGAAGTCCTCTCAACCTGCGGCGGAGAGCGACGCCAAATCTACGCATGATGCGACCGATCCTATCAACGATCCCGTTGCGTCGGCCTCGCAGGCGGCTGGCACGGCGTGGCTCGCTGGCCATCTTCACCACCTGACTGACGACCAGGAGAAGAAGCTGGAGGATTTCAAGAAACTGTGTGAGGAGAAGGGTTACTACAAGCCGGAACGGGATGGAGAGAAGGCCAGCCATGATGATGCGACGATGTTGTATGTATATTTCGCGCTTCGTCTACATAGACCTCGTCACGCTCGATGAACACGCATTGGAGAGGAGCTAACGAATATTACTCTTAGGCGCTTCCTTCGCGCGCGCAAGTTCGACGTTGACGGCGCTTGGGGCCAGTTCAAGGATACCGAGGATTGGCGCCGGGATAATGCCATTGAGTCGCTCTACGAGAACATTGATGTGGACTCCTACGATGCTGCCCGGCGAATGGTTCGTGAGCTGATCTATACGTGTATGGCGATGGTCGCTAATATTTTCCTGTCTAGTATCCCCAATGGACCGGTCGTCGAGACCGCCGCGGTATTCCCGTCTACGTTTTTGAGATCAAGCAT